ATAAATTACTTATTACATATATATACAATACTATGAAGGGAAATCGAACTTGACTGAATTGAGCGATAAGAAGCGGACCTAGTCGTCACCTATCAGAGCAATTCATCTAAGGAACGCCCCTCACTGAAGAAAGAAAAACAAACAACATAATGTTTGTAAAAGCTATTACACCATCCACTAAACAAGATCGTCAAAACAACAAAAAGAAGAGAGGGAGCGAGGCAAGACCAACTGGGACTGAAGGAAACCATCAGTCCAAGTTAAAGTTATCCCCCACGTCATCTGCAGCTTTTCTCTTTGCAATTTCCTGCAATTCTAGCTTGATAGCCGCCTTGCGGATTCTTTTAGCCATCCTATCTTCTTCAGACCCTTACCATAAAAGAGTTATTTTGCAATATTAGATGCAATGTGTTCAGGGATAGGCTTAATATCTTTGAATATAAGATAATTTCGACCGTTCCAAATCCACCAACAACAACAGGGTAAAACAACTTTCCAAACCATCATGATATCATTGCGATCAAAGGGTTACTACGGATATTGATGAGATCGTCCATATGTTGACTAGTGCCTTATACGAGACTAGATGAAAGACTCAAAGTGGGGTTGAAACCTTGATTCAAAATTATGCTTAGTTTGCTTTTTCTTCTGCCCATTCCTTTCACTTCCTCTTATTAATTATACTTATTTGCATTATTCACTCATTTATTTATTTTTATTACACGAAGTTGGCTTGGACAATTACCATGTTGCAGGGTAATCAAAGGCGAGGAAGAGAGAAGTACCGAACGATGGTTAAAAAAAGAAGAAGAAAAAAAAAGAGTGAAACACTAATTATTAAGGCAGTCGTGGCAACAGAGGAGGAGACAGCTCATTTGTTTCGTGCTCCACATGCAAACAAAAACTCTACAAGAAGATAGAGGAAGCAAACAAGTTGAAATAAGGACAGTGGAGAAAAAACAGGCTTTTTTTTTTCTCATAAAAAATACTTCACTTAAAAAGTACTCCTATATATCAGCAGCAACTATAGAAAGGAATATAAGGCCACTCAAAACGCGCGCGCGAGAGAGAGAGAGGGAGAGAGAGAGAGAGAGAGAGAGAGGAAACTAGTTATGATTCTATGAAATTATCCGTTTGCAGCAAGATCAGAAGAAAGACTTACAGATATTTTTATGGA